ACTGTACTTAAAACTCTCCAGACATTCATCCTAACAAATGCACTGTTAGTCCTTTTTACATTGTCAACGATCCAGTTTTAAGCAACTTTAAGTATTGCACACACCCAATATTGTTTCCTGAATCTGTGTACTTCTGTGAACCTCTCTTCATCCAAGTGCTCTTATATGCAAGTCTGCTTCTCACTGAACATGTACAGAATGAAAAAAGAACTTAATCTCTGTAATTAAACAATATTCATTTAATTTCCTATTTCAAGAATTAAGCTTTAAGTGTTTATCAACATGATACAAACTTTTAATCTGTGTGCTTTGTGTGATACAGTTATGCTGTATGGATCAGACTGGACAAATATGTCTTTTATTTGCTGTGCATCTGCCATTTAAGAAAAAAAAATGAAATCGTCAGAATGTTTAGTAGAAGTAACTGTAGTATAAACTTATGTACACACTGTAGTCCTCCTGCTCTTATTTTATTTCATAAGAACTGATACAGTTTGTGGTCGTTTTTTACAACACAAATGGCACCTTATCTGTGATATTATCAGTGAGATTGAATCTCTATGTTACATTCATTTACAATATATGTGCTGCCATTACGCGTTTTCCGTTGTAGTCTACATATTCATAATGTACTTTCTTTTTTATTTAGGTTTTATAATTGTACCCAACCAACCACATCCATTGAAATGCTGCCTATTCATTTTGAAGTGTTATCACACCTGTCAGACCTCTGCAAAATAAACCTGCTAGACAATATGTTCTAGAGTCCTTTTACAATTAAGAGGTTTATTTTTGCAACAGCATACTGCTGTTTAGATACATTTGTTTATATACAAAATATCATAAGTGTTAGTTAGCAATTATGTTAGATTTTCTATTTACTTCTTACATTTTGCCTAGTGTCATTTTTATTTTCATGTTCAATAAATCAATATTAGTCCACAATTCCAGAATTCCTGAAATGTCAAGTTGATTAGATTAGTCTTTTGCAATCTTTTATAATTATAACTAAACCCTAAATAGTATATTAAATAATGTTCTCAAAGACAAACTCAAGTAAAGATTACATTTATGTGTATCTAGTTAACTTGACTTACAACCTTGTTAGTTATATCCAGTTGTGTCGTAGTCAGGACACTGTTGTTATGGATCAGGGTTCTTCCAGTTCAATGACTGAAGAACTGCCTGCTTTGAAACACTGGGAAAGGATCAGCTGTCCACTGATTGGACATTAATTAGCCTTCTTAACTGTGATTGGACAGTAGCAATTCCCCTTTCAGGATCTCAGTATGTGAACCAATGCTTATGGTAGAACAGACTGCAATATGCAGGTGTTCTGATCTACAGCATAAATGCTTCCTTTTTAATGTTGGCCTTTTCCCACTATTTCATTGTTTTCCTTCTTCATGTTTTTGATTTGCAGACACTCCTCAGTTGACAAGTACTCTTCCTCTACTTTATCTTCATCTATGCCTGATTCAAGCTCCCAAGGTTCTGAGAGAAGTTTCACGGTGATACTCTGCATTGGAAAAGCAGGCGTCAGCTAAACCTGAAATCATTGTATAACTGAACCTGATTGGTTGAACAGTACCTTGATGGTGTTTTGGAGAATCTCAAGCACCGTGTGTCCGCTGTAAGATTCCTGTGAATCAAACTCTGTCCCGAGAGACTGAAACACTCCATTCAGCAATCGCTTCACCTGCACCAGATACACCAGCTCAGTTTCAGTACACTTTACTACAGCAAAATAAGAGATTTTAACCCCTCATCTGAACAGCGTCTGATGTTTTGCTTATAGATTTTCATACTAAAATATTTCAAATGAATGTAAATACAAGATTAAAGGCATTCTCCGTCTACCTGCTCTACCTGCCACTTCCTCTTCCTGTCTGACAGGATCTGCCAGAGAAAACTGGATGATGCTTGAATACTCTTATTCGAGCATTAAATTAGACAGGTTAAAAGCTTTGTATACACTCATATCATACACACCTGATCCAGATTCTCCTTTTCAGCCCTCAGATCTTGCATCTCCTCATCCGTGTTTTGTATGATGTCCTCCATCTGTTTGCACTTCTGCTTCTCTGCCTTCTGCTGGAGATTGAGCACCTCCTGCTGCAGCTGATGTGCTTGTGTGGCGGAGGAACCCAATTCTCCCGACAAATGAACCTGAAAGAGAGACGATGTATGGCATTTTACTGATCACGCCATTCTCCAGCACACACCTACAATCAGATCAAAATGGAAACATAGCAACCAAGCGAGTTTAACATACATAAAATTATAATATACTGAGCTAATAAACCCACATGGCATAATTTAGCAAGTCCACGTGTCTGTTGTACCTTTTCCTGCTCAGCCTGAAGCCGGCAAGTCTGGCTGTGTTGCTGCTCCATATACCTGCACTCACAGAGTAAACCAATTGGTTGTGTGTCATCATACAGGATCCCCTGCTTTTAGAAGGTTTTTTTTGCCTTTGATTTGACTGGAACGCAGGAAATTGGAGTGTGAAGAAAAGGGTTGAACACACCTCTTATTCTTTTCTATTTTGTGGTTCTGTTCCTCCACCTGAGAACTCTTCTCCAGAACCTCCTTTTTCAGACACATACTCTCCTAAAACACAGATGGCATTTAAAAGGCTACTTATTTGTATCTAAACGTTACAAAAAGATCCTTATAATTAATAAAAGTATCCTTGTATTCAAACCTGAATGATTCTCTGAATGTTGTGTAGGATCATGTTTGTCTCTAAGGACACAGAGGAGAGTCTGAAAGAGAGGTGACCCTCTTTTTGCAGCTCATCCACCTGAGAACAATGAATCAAATCTCTGTTTGTTTTTTGACCTAAATAACTATAAGAACTAATAAAAATAAATAAAAACCCATATTGCACCAATATACCTTGCAGCTCAGCTGGTCCACCCTGCGTGCCAGCTTTTCAATAGCCAGCAGAATTTCTGTGTTGTGTTGGCGAGCATCAGACATCAAGAATGATGTGATATCAGGTGCTATTTAAAACATGTTTGCATTTAGTGTAAAAATGGCAGTGACAGCATGCAGTAATTGCATGCTAATAATAATAAGTAAATATAAATATAATAAGTAAAATAAAGTGACACATTTCAGCAAGTATTGCGTGTACAAAAGTAATAGGCTCAGATCTTACTTTGGTATGGAATGTGCTGGGATGGGTAGACTGAGGCAAATGAATCTAGCTGTGCTGGAAAATAAGGATTTTGTCTGAAGGAATATGGCTGTTGATCCAAAAAAGAATTCATTATTATTATTATTATTGCAATACTGTTTTTTGTATTTTAATATATTTATAAATGTCATTTATTTCTTTAATGCAAAGCTGAATTTTCAGCAGCCAGAAATCATTCTAATAATTTGGTGCTCAAGAATTTTTTTTTATCATCTATGTTGAAAACAGTGGCGCTTAATATTTTTCTGCAAACATGCATTTTTTCATGATGTAACCCTGGGTTAATTTATTATTAATATTAGCATTTATTT